TATCGCGAAAATGTGAAGCTGAAATTGAGATATTATTTTACTGTCTAAAAGTAGGAAAGGTTTTTAATAAACTGTCAAAGTGCCAGAAAAAATAATGCGTACTAAGAGCAACGCGCGACTCCTAAAGCTGACGAATATTTCATTGCGCGCAGTGGATTTAATCGTTAATTTTAGCGTGACCGATCTCATGCAAGGGTGGGTAACTGAATAAATGAAAGCGAGAAACTGAACACAAAGACAAAGCGATTTAATGACAAGATTTTTTACCATGATCAGACGAGCCGCAGTTTTCTTAGAAAAAAATGGTGGACATGTTGAGGATTAACGACCTCATGCACGCATAAAAAATCCAATTATTATGCCCCCATATATACAAAACATGTTTTCTCCCCTATTTATTTTCATACTAACTCTCTGACGAAGGCCCCCAGGTAGAAACGTCGAGAGGTGTTTTGTCTATTTTAGGCAGTTTTTATATCACATTTGAAGCTAAGTTGTTTGAAGACGCTGCTCCCTGGTTATACAGGGTGAGTCAAAAAAAAGTGACACCTTTGAAATTCAAATTAGCTGCGAACTTATGACTGGAATATGACAATTCCCATGTACAATCAACAAAAACGATTTGATAAAACTATTCTTTTGTATTTACAGAGCTTAGAATGCATTTTAACTCCCAATGGGAACAAACTTTATGTTTTAGGTTAATTAATATGATATGCTTCGTATACCTATGAAATATTTTAGGCAACTTCTGTCACATTACAGCCGCTATGCGGCTAATTTGAATTTCAAAGGTGTCACTTTTTTTTTACTCACCCTGTATTGTAAGGCATTATATTATGGCTGGAATTTGACAATTCCCATTGTGTGCAATCAACAAGACGTGCATGGTTAATTAATGCAAAAGTGTTTAAACCAATTGAACTAATTCAACGTTCTTTTTTACTGCAGAGCTTAGAATGCATTTTAACTTCCATAGAGAACAAACTTTATGTTCTACTTAATTAAAGGGTTCACTTATTTGATATGCTTCGTATACCCATAAGATATTTTAGGCAACCTCTGTCTCATTACAGCCTATTACATACACATTGCAGCTAATTTGAATTTCAAAGGTGCCAGTTTTTTTAACTCACCCTGTATAAAGGCGGAATTATTTTTGGTAATCTTACAAAAGAAATCCACCAGAAAGAATTGAATATATGATCGAATCAACACATCGTAGCACCCCTCCCCCCCGCTACCGTTCTAAGTTCGGAATTATAAATGAGTTGAACTCTGTAATGGATCTCACGACTTGTGATCACTTTTACGATTCGTGAAATGCGGGAGTATTGGTCATGTAAGTCGCAAACTTAGAAAACAGGGTAAAATTTATTCAATTTAGAGCTTGGTGATAACGTCGAATTACAGAGTGCAATTGTCAAAAGAATTCTTCAAGAAAAATGTTGGCGAAAACCTTCTTGTTGCTTTGCGGAATCCATGCAGCATTCTGTGCAGGTAACTAAGTGTACGCCTGTATAGCTTTTGGCAAACCCAGTGAACTACTTCGTTCCCAGGGTCTTCCGTACCTCGTGCCATGAACGCAAAAGACCCTGGGAACGAGGTTCGATACCAGGCTTTTGGCCAGTGAATATAAGCTGCATGTATTATAGTGTATATTTTGTAGTTTATATAGGTCAGTCAGTCCATTGATTTGTTAGCCTATAAGAACGAACTTTTTTATAAACAAATATACAAAGAAGTCACGAAACCATAAAGTTTTTGTCATTTTCTATGGATTCTCGTTTGTTTTCTTAGCCGGGTGGAGAACTGTCGGCAACGGGTGCGTTGGTGCAAGAGATACCAAATTTCTAGAACTGAGGTACACCGGCCAAGATGGTTTTGTGAGGGCATTCAGGATGGTTCACACGAGTGGAAAAATTGGATGCTACAGCGGTGCACAGTCAAATTGGGGATGTAATTATCACGGTCTAAACATGTTCGTCACAGATACAGAAAATACGGTTATGTATCCTTCCCCTGTGTTAACCAAGCCTTATAAAGCTGGCGGCTGGTATCGTCTGCCTGGTTATCTTCACAATTCATATCAGCTGGTTCTATCAGATGTTGGCACCAGGTTCATTTATCGATTCCAAGCTATACGAATCTGGTATGGTGAAGATCTTTACGGCCACACTGAGAGCGACAACCATGGAAAAACCTGTTTTACAGCTCAATTTTACTTTATTGATTAATCGTTTATTCAAAGACCGATTGGTCCGACTGCAACACGTATATTCATTGTTAGATTTTAATAAGCAAAAGGCATTCCTTAATTTTTTGTACGCATTTTTGTTTTTGTGCAATTTTGTGAAAGTGTAAAAATACATTTCGACTTAAGATTAACAGTTTGTGTTGTTGTGACTTGTGGATTTTTTTATAATGCAGGAAATTGCACAGTTAGGAATGTGTTTCTATACCAAAACAAATTACTTTCGCTCTTTAAAGTCTGCTGTCTGCTAAGTCGTATGAACTGTCGTATATGTATCGTGAACATGTCAAGGTGGCTGATGTGATGGAATATTTCTATGTGTGTGCAGTCAACAACGACCAATTTGAATACGGAAATAAAGAAAAATATACACCCGGACTATTTCTCATCGATGAAAACGACTTGTTCACGACAAGTGAAACGGCGATATAACCCCTGATTTATGTGTGATGCATGGGCCCCCACCTATTTTAGCACATGCGAGTAAATATGGCGTTTCAAGCAACGTTCGAAGATTTCTTGAAAGAGGAAAATTTTGATTTGGTTTTCGCTTTCGACGACACGGATGTCGAAAAGAATGACAAATCATCCGGTTATTCGATTATTAGCTATTTCGCAACAACATACAAAGGTTTCGCAACTTCCTGTCCGGCATTTAATTATCCCGCTCTTTTGCTTACATTGTTATATTATCACATTGGGCAAAAATGTCCCCCAAGTTTTCCCTTGACGTTGTGTTTGTTCACGTATAGCAAAAAAGGTTCAAAAATTTACGAAACAATATTTTTACTACGGTGAGATATATTAATGAACTATTTGTCCGTGTATTTGCTAAGCTGGAAGGGCAGTACAGGATATTAATATCAAACATATTATTCCACGTACCAGCCGAGAGAAGCCAGGTTTCGGTGACCACGGACGCAAAATTTATTTGAGAACAACTCGCATTTACTCAATATAATTATCTTGACTTCTGACCAAGGATCAACGTGTTGGTAAGTTGAACAAGTATTCTTTTGTCGACGTAAGAATGGAAGAGAGCGAACAAGTAATAAATATATATGAAATCCGTAATTTTTTAACCCATACGACTTGGAGTGTAATCAAATTTTTATGCTGTGTTGAGCAAGCTATTGCAAAAAATATCAAGAAATTACCTCATGAAACTTGATGGTATGGAAGGTTTGTGTTTATCCAGCATGTATTGAAAAAATTAATTTGGGACGTTCATCTAAGTTATAAAATATGTAATTTTATCACGCATTGTGGCAAAATGCGAACTATGAAAACATTTTGTTGTTTGCATTCAATGTGGAAATTTTCGTTGTTATCATTACAAAGAATGCTTGAATATTTCTTTATGCTATATAAACGACGAAAAGAGTAAATAATAATATAAAAAATGTATGCAAACGATTGACAAAATAGTTTTGACAAATTAACACATTTAGTTTGAAACACGTGTTATTCGCACGTATGCATGTTTCATCATTCCCTCCCGAAATAGCTGTGTGATGATTTAGAAAATGTTCAGAAAAGAGCGCTTGCTATCATCTAACCAAGCCAGTCATACGAATCTAATATGGAGACGTTTAATCTATCTTCTCTAAAAGATAGACGTTCTCAGTGAGAAAAGTGGTTCTCGTCTATCATGAACTCTGAATCTCATAAGGTGCACAGCCTCTCACCTCCCTTACAAGCAGAAAGCTACAAAGAAACGAGGAAGAAGCGAGTCTTTAATATTCCCTTGATACGGGCTGAACGCTTCAAGCTGACCTTTATCCCGTCTATATGAAATATAACCAATTCACTTTGACAATTTGTATATATTAAAAATATTTCATGTTTGTATATTTTTTGTATATATAAAATATATTACATTTTATATAACTATTTGAATATTTTGTGATCTCAACTTGTACATCAATTACGCAATTCAGCTATTATGAGCTGCAATGTAATTGGTTAAATAAACTATCTATCTATCATCTATCTATCTAGTTTGGCGCCCTTCCTCGCTAGCCCCAGTCCTAAAGTGCATCACACATGTTTCATACCAATGCATCGCCGTTTCAACGCTCTATCTTATATATACGCTCTGATGGAAACTAGGGTTGAATGTTGACGTCGCTAGCACTACATGGATAAGCAATGTAATAAAACATCGGAGCCATCGCGTGCAAAAACTCGCGATTTTAACTTTAGATCTAGGCGCCAGTTACACGATACCGGATTGGTTTTCGGATCGGATAATCTACGCTGATTCTATATACATATGGTATGGGATTTGTCTTGATTACACGATACCGCGGTTTAGTTTTCGTATCGGATAATCTTCGTTGATCCGATGTACGTATGGTATCGGATTTGTCTTGATTATACGATACCGGATTAGTTTTCGTATCGGATAATCTTCGTTGATCCGATATACATATGGTATCGGATTTGTCGTGATTACACGATACCGGATTGATTAAAAATACAAACAAAATGGCGGACAACGAAGGGAAAGCAAAAAGTTAAAAAATATATATGGGGCAAAATATGTATGGCGCTTATATTTATATATATAATATACTAGTTATATAGGGCAGGAATTGCAAAGACCGTGTCTTGCATCACCCATACGCCAGTTATACAGTAACATGGTATGGTTGGCGATTTAGATGAGAGCAAGTGAATCTCTCATTACGACGGCAAATAATTCACGAGATGCGACGGAAATCGGACAACTTCATATCCATTACACGCAACAACACTTACGATTCCGCTGACACGAAAGCTTGCCTTTCCTCAACATTTTGGAGTTGGAAACGTTCGTCCTCTTCGACTTTTGTTTTCGCACATTCTTTCCGCTTTTCATGTTGAATGGTGTCCATCAACGACTTGTTGTGTGTCTCGGGAAGCAGCATGATTAGAAAAGCGCTTGCGAGAGACAGCACACCAAGAATAGCAAATGGCACAAATGTCGCTGTATACGCGCCCTGAATAAAAACAACGTAATGTGTCAACGCGTCTTTTAAGACAAGTCGTTAAACAGTCGCTTAAAAAGCAACATTTTGAGGTGAAACGTACCAGCAAGAATATCTGTGGCGAAAGCATGCCTCCAACTCTTGTCCAAGCATTATTAACACCAAGACTTAGATTCCTAAAATATTAAACATGTTTTCATAAAGAAGTTCACTTTGCAATGACGCAGCGCATGCTCTGCGATCACAGTTGTAATTTTCAAACAACAAAATCCGAAGTTTGAAAAGATTTGTTGAAAATACTGCAGGGAACTGCAACACTAATTAATATACTAAGTTATTTCATCCGAAATATTCAGTACAAAAACTTTAAACCTTTCGATTTAACAACGCAAAATTGCAACTGTGATCACAGAAACCTTGACAGTGTAAGCCGGGCCTTAGAAAATGTGTGGGGGGAGTCACTAACTAGAAAGATTTTATCCCAACGTTGTCCTTGTTATTGATATGAACACTGTATAGAATGGGATAATATTTTTCGAAAACCCCCTGAATGCTTACTCTAAGAGCAATTACCAGTGTTAGACAATTATTCGTATCAAATGTCACTTAGTGCAAATGAAGAACAATGTTTACATATTATCATTGTTTTTTAAAAAATTCAAAATTCATTTACGTTTTATAATTATATACCTACCGAATAACAGTCGGATATAATTCAGCAGTAAATGTAGCTGCAACATTCATTGTTGAAATTGCGGAAGACTTTCCAAGAAGCGCAGTCGCAGTTCCCAGAATTTTAACTCCGGTTGCATCTAGCGGAAAGGTAAATTTTTATCAACACATACATAGGCTATGTATATAGGCCAGGCGTTTTAAAACGTTGCATTCAGCTATACCCGCGCCTCGATCAAGCATCGACGCATTTTTGCTTTTCTTACCTGATCTTAATATTGTTGTTGAATGCAACGTTATACGTTTTTTTAATAAAGCGCCGACACATTGATTCGAATTAGCGTGCAGGCTCATAATGTCGGCAGATGTCTCTTGTAAAATACGGATTAGTAGGTGAAATGCATATCTTTTGATTCTTCGCCAGTGAACCGCTGAAAACCGAGCCTGCTGTATTGGGAGAAATTTTGACAGTTCTGACTGGCGTGGTAATATTTAATTTGCACGCCAAACAGTTTTATGCGTTTTCTGACTGTTCCTCTTTACGTAGAAAACGTCCAAATCAATTTATCCTGCAAGACTTTGCAATGTAAACATTTCTAACTCTTTTTAGGCAAGCTGAATGTGGAAAGTTTCTAAAGATTACCTGACTCAACTGCGGTTGTTACAACTGAGATCACATTCGCTATTCCACAAATCAAGAACGCCAGCGCTAAAGGCCTCCGACGACCAAACCTTAAAGAAGATCGTTTTATACATTGTAACAACATACACGAATATTTACGATTAGAACAATTTCTCTTAACGCCATGTTACGCGGTGCAATTTTTATTGCAATGCAATGCGTTTATTACACTCCATAAACGTTTCTCAAAATTACATTTTGAAGACTTTTCACTACCTGAAATCTCTTAAAAATAGAATGCATTGCAAGTTGCCTGAAATTGCACCGTATAACACAGTCTTCAAGGCCCGTTTACACTTGCAATTTGTGCAGCGATTTTCTCCTTTTGATAGATGCGAATGAGTAAATAAGTTATGAATGTACATATAAGGACACTTATACATTACAGCATTCATAACTTTTTCCTCGTTTCCATCCGTCAAAAGAAGATATATATGGCTACCTTATGATGTAAAATAGCTACGTACTTTGGGACCGCCCAAAACATCAACAAGACACCACACATGTCCGTTGCTTCACTTATGAAAAAATTGACATATTTATCACCAAATAGGAACGAAATATTAAAAGCCAATCCAAAAAAGGCAGCAGAGATGGTGAACCTACATGTGATGAAGAAATGATTAAATATACATTAATTGTACAGTCGCAGCAATAGAAGCGTTCGGAAAAGTGTTGAGCAAATCATTTGCATATATTTGTTTGTTTGTTGATTTGTAGAGTTCATCTTATATGCAGTGGGGGTCAAAATTCTGAGTCCAGTCGATAATTTTTCTTAATCTATGATACATAATATCTTGTGAGTTGGAGAATGGGTATGTTGATCTGAACGTGCGCATTTTATGATAGTAATGCCTCCCATATTTTTTCTGGTTATTCCTATGGTATTTAAATTGTACAAGAAATGTGAATTTTTCTTTTGGTGGACCAAACATGGCAAAGAGAAGGCCTACAATGAAGGGATGTCTCAGCGAAAAATTGAGGTGAGGTTATATGTGCCGAAGAAAAAGTTGGAAACGTTTCGTGAATCAGTTTCGTATTCAATTAAATGAAGATCTGCGAGACCAAGCACTACTCCTGCAAAGGAAGATAGAAAGAGAGTAGAAGAAAAACCAGTGAAACGTCCTTAATCAATGTTGGAACAGAATTGTAATAGTGCTAACAAAACTGGTTCACTCTATGCCAGAAAAAGTCAAAGCTGCATGTTTTGAAACGTAAAAGAGATCATACAAAATTTTAGAACAGCGCCAATTTGTTTTAAATCCTATATTGTGATTGTACAGTGCTGTTGTTATATGGATCTCAATCAGACTTTGGCCCCCACTGCATCCTCTGTATCGTCTTAGTTTTACTGAAAATCTCAGGAATGAATACCTTACCACACAATAATCAGGATGAAGCTTTTCATTCGCAGTGACGGGGTCCTGTAAAGATCTAAAACGTTGGCCTTTCTATCATGCCGTGATTTGAGACCATCCTGAAAATCAAGTTCTCCTATTTTCCGCATAATCTCTTCAGGATATGGCAACTTGTTGAAGTGAACTATACGACGAACAACATTCTCCACTTTGTCAAACCTTTTATGAACGATTAACCATCGGATAGACTCGGGAACAAAACTAAAATTGAAATACATATAGGTTATGTACCGTATATACACACCTATAACTAAAAAAAGATGGCCATGTGTAAGCAATAAACTTGATGGCCATGCATGTGTAAACAATAAACCTGAATTTCTCATGTTTAAAACATCTTGTGTTGCAGTTTCGGGTTTTTTAGATATTGTTTTTGATTCACCGCATAAAATCTTCAAACTATTCTATCTTCCAAATCAAATCCAAGACCTTCAAACAATTTTTTTGAGTAAACATCTCAAGTATCTAGACGACGGATATCGGATCTGTAGCTACATAGTACGTGGCGTGGCTTAAGGTCTTTTTACAGTGTACACGATCCAATTTGCTGGATTCAATTTAGGTACTGTTCTACTTTTGAAATTCGTTTTATAATCTGTTTAATGGAGTACTGCTTTACCGATAGCACATTCAATTCCATACGCCAGAAGTTAATTGAATCCGACAAACTGGATAGTGTGAACAGACCTAAAGCTAGGCATGACAGGGTCAGGCAGAAATTAGCGAAGCTTCTCTGTAGCCTGTCTATAGAAATTAAACAAGCGTCATCTCCTTATAGAGATTTTAAAAAATTAATTTCAACTATCTTTTCTTTTCGCGCTTATGTGACCCAAAATAATTACACATACGAAATTAGTGAGCTCTTAAAAATTTAACTCAATGAAAAATTTGTTTACTTCATTTGTTTATTGTAAGCATGTGCGTGAACTCGGAACGATTAGGCAAGCGTTAATTAATTTGCTTACCAAACATTACACCCAAACAACAACTCACCTGATCTCACCCTATTCACCGCGCCTGAAGGGATGTCGAAATTGTCGAAATACGAACAAATCTATTGTGCAGTGTTTAATCGATTATATCCTTTGTTATTCTTTATAAAACTAGTCGAAATGTGGTTATGTTTAGCTATAAGCACTATAGTTCTGATATAAATTTGAAACAGAAATGAAGCATATTTCAAGAGATAATTTTATTATGTCGGCACGCGGAAAACCTAGGAACGAAGATCAATCAACCAAGCGACCAATCGCGACCAATCAGATCGCAGTTGGCATTGATTTCGCGAAAAACCTGGGAACAAGGACGCCGAGAATTTAAATTTCACAACTAGTCCCAGTCCTTTCCCGCCTTTAAATATCACTTGAAAAGTTAAAGTTCATAGAAATGAGACTACTTACCACAACAAAAGTAGTTGAATGAATGGAATGAATGAGATGGCCAGCTGAATGTATCTCCAGTCCCGTATTAAATATGCAAGTATGCCTAACACCATGCCACCAGTCACTGAAATAATGCCAAAAAACACACCAGCTCGTGCACGATACTTCGTTTGGAACAGCTCCAACGCCAAAACGAAGGATACTATAAAAGCGGCCTGCACGAAAAAAAAAGAAACGGACATTCACTGGACCCATTAAACAACATTTAATAGGAAGAGCATCACAAAATAATTTATATTCGTGAGATGCTAATTAACGCCTATATTCAAAACCTAGCTCTCTCGTACTCATTGAGACCGAGACATATAAATGGTAAAACATTAAAAATCAAGCTCTTTTTCGAGTGGAAATACCGAAAAGATATCGATATGAGGTAAGCGAGATCACCCAATCACCAAATTCCTCATTCCGCAGCCCCAATCACCAGATGCAGTAGGAGGAACGTTAGGAGAATACGAGAGAAGCTTGTAAAACACGACGCGTAGTTATTATAAGCCTCAGATAACGTGCATTATAATATAACATTTATAGTACGCGCGTGCTGATTGGTCGAGAAGAGTGTTTCTATATAACTGCATAGAAACACGGGAATTTTCCCGCCGAACTTGACAAGCGAAGTAATGTAACGAGAATGTGTAGCTAATTGAATCAAATTATAATATTTATACGAAATCCTTTTATTGAGTTGTATGTTAAAAGAAATAGAAAACATTTTTTTTGTATTTCTATACAGTTATACAAACACTTGTAGGCGTTTGGAAGAACTCGAAGTAACGTGGAAAAGTTATTTCTTGTTCTCCCAAACTTCCATGCGTGTTTGCTATTTAACAATTAGACTAAGAGTCCGAGTTATCTATTCGCTCATAGACAACGAAGGCGAGTTGTCTAATTGTTTTAGTATACACCCGTACCTAGATATAATTATTTCGAGAAAATAATCGATACACCACAATTACACCGAAAAATGATTTAATTAATTCAATTTTATACGGTCGCGCGAGTGAATTTTTCTCAAACGTTCACCATCACGAATAGCCAATGCTTGAGTAGCCAATGTTGAATGTAGGATTTGTAATGGACAATAGTCGGGTGTATACTAAAACTGTATAGAAACACGGAAAATGTTTTATATTTCTTACATATTACACAATTAGAGACTCTGATTACATCCCTTCCCTTGTCAATTTGGCAGGGAAACCTCCATGTTTCTATACAGTTACAGAAACTCGCTTCTAGACCAATCAGCACGGGCGCACTCGCTATAAAGCCGATTCTTCATTACATTTCATTGATTTCAATAAAAACCTCGAATATTCGTTCCGCTTATTCATGCAGCGATATTTCCTGGCCTTCGGCAAATAATTGTTAAGTAATAATTTTCTTCATTTCGTCTAATTCTACAAATAATTGCCATGAAAATGGAATCAGTTGGCCTTAAGACTAATAATATGAATATGAACAGCAGCCTCGCCCAGATTTTAGCAACAGTAGCATCACCAGAAGGATGACTGGGAGGCAATATTCATGTATTTTTGTTCTGAATTATTAATTTCTTTTGAAATCAATTGTTCTTACTGCCCCTCTCCCAAATTATCATTCCAGCAGCACCACTGAGCAAGGTCCAGGCCTAAGGCTCTTTTCCACTAGTCATAAAATCAACTTGCAAACCTGTTGCAAGTGTTTGAATAGTGCATCTGATAAAAAATAAACTGTCTAGCATCATCATGTTTGGACCAAACAGTGAGCTTGGAAATTAGTTTTTGGCTTTTTGCAATGAGTGTGTGAGAGAATTAAGGGGGAGCAGTGGAGATAATCTTGGAAAATGCACAACAATTATGCCCAATTTCAGGAGTTCAAAGCAAATAATTCTTACATACTTGTGTTTGGATACCAAGGAAAAATCTCAAGGTAACAAATGCATAATAGTTTCGAAATATGAATATTCCAAAACTTAAAATTCCTCCCGATAGTTGAGAAACCGCAAGTGTAGGCTTTCGACCATACTTGTCAGCAAGAAACCCGTAAATGAGGGAACCAACCAGAACTCCACCAAAGTACACTGTTGTTGATAGTTCACTTTTATATGCATCATCGCAAACAAGATCAAACTGTAAAATTAATTTAAACAGATTATTATAATTTTTATTAATATATAATAATAACAGCCTAAAATTTTTGTGTCTGGTTTATATTGCAGTCTGTTGCAATTTCATATCATCATATGCAACTAAATAAGCTAGCCCTATGCATGCTAGATTTATCAACAACTGCAATATGAATTAAACTGGATGAGCACTTACATAGTATTACTAAATATAATAACCGTACACACAGATGCAAACTACACTGACTGATTTTCTTGCTTTGAGTAATATATTATTGCACAACAGAGATATTGGAGGCTCAATTTTGATGCTTCGATCTATACATTTACTGGTCTTGAAATCTCGGTTGCACAGTCTGCATACTTTCCAGTCAGTGGTTACCTATATACACCTTGTTAAAACAAACCAAATTGAACATATGTATTAATTACTGTAATTGGAACAAACTAAATTTATTCCATCATTTAGTCAGATTAAATAACATTGCTCTTTGTTGTGAGACTTTTACTCCTAGCTCATTACACACTATGTAGTAAATGTGTTTTCCGCCTGGTTCTCATAAATCATTATTGTCGGTGATCAATAAATAAAGTGCTTTGTTATTTTGAATAAGTTTTAAGGGCATGATTAACATTTAAGCAAGGCAGGCAATTAACAATTATCCAGCCCTCATGGGAGGAATAATAGTATACAGGCTCGGATCATATCATCAGTAATCATATAATCAGTAGTTTATAATGTTGGTGGTACAAGGAGAGTTATAGTTTGTCAAATTCAATTTACGCTTGTCAGCTATTAGCCTATTACCTCTGATATAATTGTATTCCCTCGCTCTTCCAAATCGTATGTCCATCCATTGCGGCATGGCTCTGATTCGTTCCCGCTATATTTTGTGTAAATCGAACAACCGTCGAACTGTTCTTTATTATCTCGCACCACAAGAGGTATAAAATCACGCAAGGTCTGATTTGCAGCTAATGTACAGTGATGTGGTGTCTTTGCCGCTAAAAATACTGCTAAAAGATGGTTACACATGACATACACTAGGTTGGTCGCCAGACAAAAATACGAAAGCATTTGAAATTTGCCAGGATCACCGATATTCTTGAATAATTCTTCCACTTTGTCCATTTATATAGAACTGATTACTATATATTACTTTAGATAAAAAAAATATATATACTATATAAAACAAGAAGGGACCCGTCACCCAGATGTTTGCATCCAGTTTAATTTTGCGATCTGTGTCACAAAGGCAGGGTTTCCACTCTCTAGGAAATTTCCTTTTTTGAGAAATTGTTGCCCAATAGTATAGCTTCGTTTTTTAGAAAGAATAAAAAGCATAATTAGATGAAAACTTCCGAGCTCTGCGACATGTCCCCCAAAAAAGGGGTTTCAGGGAAATAAAAGAATCAAGGAGATCTAAGGACATTTTAGTAAATCTAAGGAAATCTAAGGAATTTTTGAGATATGTTAGAAAAACTCAAAAATGAAAAATAATACATATTTTTCAGGACTCTATTATTGCGAGATCACGTATTTTGTGTTTAGTTCAATTAAAAATTATTAGGCTGAAATCAATCCGAAATTCTAATGATGAAATCAGCCTGCGAGCAGGCTACCATGTGCTACAACTTTGACATTGCAGGCTACGAGGTGTTAATACTTCGACTACGTTGGGACAATGTTTCATAACGACATATTCGGTTCGTGCAGCTGCTGTTATTTTTTCTCTTTAACGTGCAGTAATAGTCGAAGACGAATTTATTACTAACTCGTTTTCTGAAGCAACCGTATTTTCTATCTTCGACAAAATAATTTGCGGTGATAAGGTAACTAACAACCAAAGTGGCAGTGTGCAAATAAAACTGAAATTATAAATTGGTTTGACCCCTCCATGCACTACCTTATTGGAGTATTTAAATTAACTTTGTACGGCATTCAAATTCGGTAAAAGTATCATTGTGTGTTGTATGTATCTTAGCCCGTGAGTTTCAAAATTTTCATCACATTTTCCTAGCAATAATCTTCGCACAAACATGCATTGCGCAGTAAAAAACATCCAAGCAGAAATTTACAACAAGTTTATAGCAAGAAAAACACTTGATTTAAACACCAAAAACAGTGGATGCGAGTGCCTTAGCTTAAGCACATCGTGTGTCTACCAAGTTTACAGATTTCAATTTATATACATCAAGTTAAAAATATATACAGCAAAGGATTTTACGACCTAATGAACATTTATATTTATCTATTGAGAATCCTGACTGTTCGACGACAGGCACAGGCCTATTGTGTTCAATATTTTCACTGCTTCTTTTCTCAACATTGTTTTCGTCCAAAAAAATATCACAGAGTCCACAATAGAAATACTAAGGTTGAGCGTAAGGACCCAGATAAACAATACTAGGTTTTCAAATTTTTCAAGGTTTTTGAAGACCGACTGCATAGCCACAACAGGGAAAAGGCATAGAGTGAAAAAACAAATTACTACGATAAAACAAGATTTGGCTTGTTTGATTTCCTGAAGAAGCACTTTTCTCTTTGTCGTGTTTCCCTCGGAAAAAGAATCATGTGCTCTTCTTTCCGAACGAGACAACCTTCTGACAACCAGGTATATTCTTGTGTAAGCAAATACGATGAAGATTACATTAATTGATGTCATAGCAGATGCGTATATCCTGACATACATGTCACCTAATGAAAAGGAAAGGACAGTAACAGCTAAATTCACGACAATACAGGAACACACAAATTTCACAAGCCTTTTCTTTGTTACTAGGGTGGGGTAAGCGTAGGGATGTAGGATAGCAATGTATCTTTCTGCTGTCATAGCAATGATTATGAATATAGAAAGCCCAATTAATAGAACTGTCCCTCTTAAAGTCAAAATTGTAAGCAAACAGTTCGACGTTTCAACCAATAGACTGATCATAAAGGTGACGAAAAGGGGTATTGCCAACACACCAACTGCCAAGTCAATCACCGATTGCATCAAAATGATAAAATAGCAAGGCTTGCTTCTCAGTTGAGACGATCTCCAGATGGTTATGATTGGAACAACGTTGAGAATTATTGCAAGAATAATCAAAATGATGTTAACAACAATGACGAAGACGTGATTGATTAGCATTTTTCCAAATGTAAGTTTTGCTACTTCTGAAAACTTAGTCCCAAGGACAGTACATTCACCCGAAAGATTCATGTTGTTTGTCTCTTTCCTGCAAGGAGCAGATGCGCGAAAGTGAAGTATGAATCTAAAAGCCTTATCGTTAACAGGCTCAATTATAAGCCTACGCCTATAACCGCTGCATAATTGTAGCTATATTGCTTTATCTTATGTGTCTGAACATAAACTACAAGTTCATGCCGGTATTATTTTAATAAAAAGTAATATTACATATATATTTTATCAGTAACTTAGCCAGTCTGACAATTATCGCAAGAATAATCAAAATGATATTAACAACAATGGCGAACATATGATTGATTAGCATTTTTCCAAATGTAACTTTTATTACTTCTGAAAACTTAGTCCCAAAAACGTTACATTCGATTCCTAAAAACTTTTCTTCATCCGTAAGATTCATGTTGTTTTTCTCTTTGAATGAGCATCAGGACGCGCGAAAGTGAAGTAAGAATCTAAAAGCCTCATCGTTAAATAACCCCCAATTATGAGCCTACGCGTATAATTGCTGCATAAATCCATAATTGTAGCTACATTAGTTCATCTTATATGTCTGATGTCTATGTAGCTATATTAGAACATCATAAATGTCTATGTAGCTTTATTAGAACATCTATATGTATAACTTACAAGTCCATGCCGGTATTATTGTAATAATATTAAATATATATTTTAATAATATTTTAATATTTCAATTTTGAATTAGTCTATTATTGTCGAAGTTTCACGATGCAACGTAATCGCCACTGGCCGATTTTGCTAAAGATAGTGCTATCCATCCGATAGTGTTCTTCAATCGATCTAAAATTGCGCGCGTTACTCAGTATAACCTGTAACAAACCTTAGTGATATTTAATTATAGGGATTATATTAACTATTAACTGTCAGCTCCAAATCTGTAGGTTTATGCTTTTCAGGCATAGTTATAACGGCCAATAAGTGGCTATCCGGCTTTCATGCAACTGACTCCTGCTTTTTACATGAAGCGGAAATTTATCAGGCCAGATTCAGACATCAAACTTCTTATGTGCCGAATCGAATGCAAATGAACTTAAACAAAGCCTTAGTTCATTTACATTAGGTTAGCGCATAAAAAGTTCGACGTCTGAAACAAGCGTGACGGCCCGTCGACATGGAGTGAGTTATCCTGGCTAGGCGAGGTAAAAAGCGCATCAAATGAAAGGCTTAACCCGATTAGTCTTTCATTATATGCAGTTTTCACCTCGCCTAGCCGGGATAACTCATTCCATGTAAACAGGCCCTGAGAGATTATTGTTATTACTATTGCCGCCCTAAAGTGATTCTTGCATTGGTTGATTAACTGCAAACGGGCAGGTGCCGAAGGTCGGCATTATTGAAACCAGGCTTCACAATAAGGCTCATTTTAAGTCGATATGAAAGTGAAGCCGAATTTAATCGTAAATTTAAAATGCGATGCTGATTTTAGCCATTGCAATAAATGATTATTAGTTGCGCCAGGTGTTAGCGATTGTGATTGTTGTAGAACTTTGATCCAGAGAAATGTAGAACTTTGATACAGGATTCTCATTAGATAAAAATAAATGTTCATTAGGTCGCAAAATTAAAGTCTGTAAACTTGGCAGACACACGATGTGCTTAAACTAAGGCACTTGCATTCCACTATTTTTAGTGTTTAAATTTTTTTTAATGAAATATTATCAGTTTGTTACAATTATAGGTAAAGAATTATACAATAATGCTTGCACAATACAAGAGGGAAAAAAATGACGCATATAAACTTAGATATAAACTAGAGAAAGTCTCAATGAAAAATATAAACTAGAAAAATATAAACTAGAGAGTCACAATGGCTAACACCTGGCGCAGCTATAATAATAATTTATTCCAATAGCTAAAATCAGCATCGCATTTTAAATTTACAATTAAATTCGGCTTCACTTTCATTTCGACTTAAAATGAGCCTTATTGTGAAGCCTGGTTTCAATAATGCCGACCTTCGGCACCTGCCCGTTTGCAGTTAATCAACCAATGCGAGAATCACTTTAAGGCAGCAATAGTAATCAATATAATCTCTCAAGACCTGTTTACATCGAGTGAGTTATCCCGGCTAGGCGAGGTGAAAACTGGGTATAATGAAAGTCTAATCCGGTTAAGCCTTTCATTTGATGCGCTTTTTACCTCGCCTAGCCAGGATAACTCGCTCCATGTCGACAGGCCTATAGACGTCCGCTTCATGTGAAAAGCAGGAGTCAGTTGCATGAAAGCTGGATAGCCACTTATTAGCCGTTATGACCATGCCTGAAAAGCAATAAACCTACAGATTTGGAGCTGACAGTTGATAAATAGAATCCCTATAATTGAATATCACTAAGGTTTATTACAGGTTATACCGAGTATAACGCGCGCAATTTTAGATCCATTGAAGAACACTATCCGGTGGATAGTACTATCTTTAACAAAATAGGCTAATGGCGATTACATTGCATCGTGAAACTTTAACAATAATAGGCTAATTGAAAATTCAAATAGTAAAATACAGTTGCGTAGCAAAACTGACGATTTTGTAAATTTGCAGTCATTATAATTATTTATACAAAAACCTTTTCCAGCAGACAGCTTTGCGAAATATAACAGAAAACATACTCCAAAAATAAACATCTAGTAAACTCAAGATATCAGTTGTTAAAAAACAAGACACAATATTCAAGGTGATATTTCGACTCTATTTCAAATTCACTGTCAAAATAGAGTCGAGTATCACCTTGAATATTGTGTCTTGTTTTTTAACAACTCGTATCTTGAGTTTACAAGTTGTTTATTTTCGGAGTGTGTTCTCCTATAATTATTCATGTCTTCAGAAATTCATTGTTTTCACAGTCAATGATTACAATGAACTTTAAAATATCAGCATAGTGGGAAAAATTGTCTGGCTGGCTACGCTACTGATAAAATATATATGTAA